CAGCGAATCCAGCAGCTGAGGGGATGCGCAGGCCAGGGCTGAGGCCCACAGGGGTGAGCAGGTGCCGCCATCCCAGCTCCAGCACAGCAGAGAGAGGGTGTGGGTGGTACTGCCAGCTCAAGGCACAGTGGGCTCAGCTTGCCTGGCCCCAGTGCTCGGCCTCTTTACGTCAGGTCCCTTCTGTGGTGCATCGTGGCCCAATGGTTGGATGTCCCTTTTCTGTCCCAGGGGACCCTAAGGTGCCAGTGCTGTACAAGGTGGAGCGGACTCATACAGGGAAGAGCTTCTCTGTTCGTTCTGTAAAGGCCATCCAGCATGGAAAGCCAATCTTCACCTGCCAGGCCTCCTTCCAGCTCCCCCAGGCGAGCCCAGTACAGCATCAGTTCACCATGCCTACTGTGCCGCCCCCTGAGGAGCTGCTGACGCAAGAGGAGCTCATCCAGAAGTTCCTGCAGTGAGTGGGGCAGAAGGGGCACATCAGGGACGTCCTTCTCTGTGGCTGGGGCTTAGGGAGGCACAGAGGCAAAACCAGGTGGGAGAGGATTGGGGTGACCACCTGAGGAGTTCCCAAATACTCCTGGGAGGGGGCTAGAGAAGCAGGACAGGGCAGGACCCGTGCCCCTCCTGCATTTCTGCATGGCCCTGGGTCCCTCGGCTGAAACTGCTGCCAGCAGGATGTGCGCTTGGCCTGCCTGGCATTAACTTCCCTTCTCCGTGTTGGTCTACAGGAATCCTAACTTGGCAGAGAGATACAGAAAGCATCTCAACAAGATTCAAGCTGAAGATGTGCCGATTGATATCAAACCCGTGAACCCGCCAGATACATTCTGCTTGGAGCCGCAGGAGCCAAAGCAGCTCTTCTGGGTGCGAGCACGAGGCTACATAGGTGGGTCCCGCCAGGAGGGTGGTCCAGCTGTCTCACAAGCCGAGGGCTGAGTCTCGGGCTCAGGCTCACGCTGCAGAGCAGACTCGCGATGCAGTAGGCTGAGAGGGTTGTGATTCAGAGGCTGTCTGCGCCCCAAGCCTGCAGGGAAGCCTGGGGCTTTCAAGGCTGAAATACAGGTGTGGGTGCCGGAGCATGAAGTGATGCCTGTGTGCCGTGCTCAGCCATGGCGGGCTTTCCCCAGGGGGAACAGCAAGGGGAGCGGGTCTGAAAGAACATCTCAGCTCTGCTTGGCCAGCAGCTGACCCTTGGGGAAGCAGAGCTCCTGGGGCTTTGCCTGGTGCTACGTGTACAGGCTTGTCCCACAGCCACCCCGTGAGAGACGGGCAGTGCTGGTTGCATTGCAGGAGAGACTGACATGAAGGTGCACTGCTGCGTGGCTGCTTACATCTCCGACTATGCTTTCCTGGGCACGGCCCTGCTCCCGCACCGGCAGTACCGCATCAAGTTCATGGTGTCCCTCGACCATTCCATGTGGTTCCACGCGCCCTTCCGAGCGGACCACTGGATGCTGTACGAGTGCAAGAGCCCCTGGGCTGGTGAGTCCTCACTGCGTTCCCTAGGGACCCGCATGGCAAAGGCCAGCTCTGCCCGTCTCGGGAGGCGGCAGGCCGCAGTCTGACGGGCCCTCTCTGCAGGTGGGTGCCGGGCACTGGTGCAGGGACGGCTGTGGCGCAGGGACGGGGTCCTGGCTGTCACCTGCACGCAGGAAGGAGTCATCAGGGTGGAGCAAATGCCAAACCAGAGCAAGCTCTAGCTGAGAAACCCCTGTGGGCTGGAACTCAGACACACCAAGGGAAGGACCCTGGGACCAAAACAGATGCGGGCAAGGTGGGACCCGGTCAGCAGCAGGAAGGAGCCTCGAAGGAGATCGGGCTGCATCCAGCGCCGCAGGGAGCACTGGTGCCAGAGGCCCTCTGCAATGGATGGGGGCCTGCAGAGGCATCTGCTGTGAATGACTTCCAACTGCACAGCATATAACCACACACTACGATCAGCCACCCTTCACCTCCTTAAATAAAGCTGTTGGGTGAACAGCCGAGCTCCATCCCGTGGAGTTTGTCCCCTTGGACCCCGTGATTGTGCTCGTTGGAGGGAGCGTCTCCTGGCAGGGGAAGGGCAGGCAGCGCCCAGGGCACTGGGGGCCGACTGTTGCCGCAGCAGGCTGGGTTGCACGAGGAGAAAGTGCTACTGCGGCACACGTGGTTTCCCCTTCTCACTTCTCCTGCCCTCCTTGTGCCCCCCGGCGCTTCAGTCGCTGCTTCTGCTTGCACTCGGTCTCCTCCCCAGGGCCGGGTTCAGGAGAGGGTCCAGCCACTGGGAGCCAGGGGAGAGGGATGAGGCAGCGCCTACCTCAGTGTAGGGGGCTTGAGGATTCCCACTGATGGTGCCCTGGGGGAAGTGAAGCTGAACAGACACAGCAGGCGCCTTGCTCTTCTTCCTACCAAGACTTTATTAAATAAAGTCTTTTTTATTATATAAGTTTTGTGGGAGTTTCCTGGTAAGGGCCCCGGAC